TACATTCTTTCTAGTGGGGGAGTTGGCAAAGTGTTCTCTTCGTGTCTGACTCATAAGTGTTGGGTGTCCGAAAATTCTTAGCGGCAGTGGGGGCTTTGAATAATATCAGTCGGTAAGACTTGGGTGAAGTAATTTATGGTAGTGGGTTGGACTCGGAATTCTTGAGGGATGTATTATGTGGAGTTCTTATTTGAGGGAGACTGTCTGTTAAGATTTTTTTGAAAATACTAGTGAATGGAAATTAATTAATTTCTGGCTAATTGTCGTGTCACAATGATTAAGAATTTAAGAAAGGAAAAAAGGAATTTTCACTGTCAGAGAGCTATTAGACAGACTAAAGTCATGAAATAGGCCCATTTTTTTAGTAACAGTATAATAACAGCATGAGTCTGAAGACAATTAGCTTTTTACAATATATACAATTGAGTAATTACACTATATACAAATCCTTCAACTGATAGTCATCCAACTTATACCGCCTTCTCAGGTTTAGGAACAAATTATCATATCCCTATCAGTTACATGATTTAGAGTGAGTATTTAACGCCTGCTCTTTTAAGGCAATGGTTGATAAATTGAATGGGTATTAGATTATTTTTGAGAATTTTAATAAGGAGCAAAATTTCGCGTTGTAAATCTATTGTATCTGTGTGCATATAATTTTAATTCGTTGTATTTGATTAATTATAGTATTGTTAATTACTTTTTTGGATATGTTGGAGTTCCAATTTATTAATTTGTTAGTATTGAAATTGAAGTTTCTTGTTTTGTCAAAAAGTAAAATTTTTTTGTAGTTAATGATTTGAAGATCTAGAAAGTCTATGCTATTTTGTGAATTATTAGTTTTATTAAGTGTAAGACAATTCGGATAAATCTCGGAGTGTTCAATTTTATCAAAATTATTAATTGTAATAAGGTCATCAATATATCTGTAGGTGTGTTTGTAGTAATTTAAACTCTTGTGGTTGTAGATTTTTTTGGAAGTTAAATTCTTTGACAAATAAAAAGATATTACAGATCGAGGTGCTGGAATGTAAGCCCATTGGCAATCCTCTGACTTGTTTAAAAATTTGATTTTGAAACTTGATGTAGTTATGAAAAAGTGTGCATTTTAGGTAGGTTTCCCATTTGTCAAGAGTCATGATATTGAGCATATCAGGGAAGAGTTTAGTTAGATCAAGTAGACTGGTATAGATTTCTTCTAGAGGAAGTGAGGTATATAAGTTTTCAAAGTCATAGCAATTAATGTTTTGGATGTTAATGGTTTGAATGGTATTAATGACAGGAGTGTTATTATGAATGATCCAGGATTGTTATGATTAGTGTCTTACAATCATTGAAAATAAATTTACAGATTTTATTAAGTTGAATTGAAAAATAATAGTCTACATTTTTCTTGTAATTTATTAGTTCCATTATTAGCAATAAATCTGAATTTTAATTGTGTTTTATGGAATTTGGGAATCGCCATAAAGATTAGTAAATCTGTTGTAGTTTGCATTGAAAGTAATATTGAGTTTCTTATGAAAAGTTTTAAACCTGTTTTATTATAGATGTTTCTGTAAGGTTGGCTAATTGATAAGTAGTTGCGTTGAGAAGTTCTTTATGAATAATTTCTGCGTAGAATTGTTTTCATATAATGCTAAAGTTATTAGTTGCTTTATCTATTTTTGTAATAGTAAAAAGCTGTGTTTTAATTTTTAATATCTGATGTAAGTTGCGACCAATTCAGTGTACTTTTAAACTTGAGGTGACTGATTTCGGTGGATATGCGTTGAAGAATTTTGGCTTTCCATTTTTAGAAGGTATCTATGGGTAAATTCAGTTGATAGCTTGCTTTAACTATAACTTTGTTGATGTTGTTTTCGAAAGTCTTGTAACAGAAATTTGTAGTCATGTTTCTGACTGGTCTAAATTTTGTACCATAACTCATTAGTGTTTTAAGTTGATGGTTTTGTATGATATTCAGGTTGCCAGTAATTATGTGCTGGTGATGAGAATTCACGTAATTGCTGTAAATTGGTGTCTTACAATGTCATTCTGCTGTTTCATCTATTTCATGGTGGTTAGTCAGCAAGTTGCTTAAGGTCCTTTGATATTTAAATGCAACCATAGGTAATGTGTCAACTGCGGGGAAGTAATCTTTACAATCTCTGATTGATTCTTGAGAAATGAATATTGTCAAACTGCGGATGTAGAAAATTGACTTTAAAATAAATTTTGCGTTGAGTGAGACTATTAGAGAGTCCGAAAAAGACTAAAATCGAGAATCATGTCTTTAATGATTTGTATGTCGTCGTAGCTTTCTTGAATGAATTTTTTTAGTTTGATAAGGAATTTATTAGTACAGGAGTGTAACAGTTGAGAAGTTTCTTGGGAAAGTTGTCTGAGTCAAAAAAACATTTCAATTGTTTTTTCAATGCAAATGTATCCAAAGTGGATAAAAATCTTCGCATTATTTTTTATTTTGCTTCCTCTTATTTCCTCTCTGCGTTTTGTTGCTGTAGTGCTTAAATTGGCTGAAAATAGACTTCTTAGAAGTATCTCTATGACTATGTATATAAGTGTTAAGTCCATATGGATAAAGTGAACGTTGTTTTAGTATATAGAGAGATTCCTGAAAAAATTCGTGTTTTGTGATTGGGTATTATATCTAGTATCTGAAGTTGAATAGAGTTGAAGTCATGGTGTTTAAAGTGCTCTAATTCTGCTGTATTGAGTTGTGATGGTGTACTTATTTTAATGCTATTTTTTGTGCGTTGAATTTTTTGATTTGAGCTCTATGGTTATTGATTCGAAAGTTAAGATTGTTTTTAGTCTGTCCTATATATTTTATATGTCAAGTGCCGCATGTAATCATGTAAATACAGTTAAATGTTTTTTATAAAAATTGTTTTTTGGGTTTATCTGTAGCAGGCATGGCGTTAAATTTTCAAGTTTTTCATCTCGTGGAATGACATTTAATGATTTCAATTTGAGATAAACTAGCAAGATATAAAAGTAAGGAGGCTGCTAACCTTCAATACAGTAAAGGTTTTGTATAAGAACTTAAATTTTAAAAAAAATATTAAAAAAGAATGGAGGTAATATATAAAGTGGGTACATTAGGCAAGAGATAAATAGCGCTAATAGCTGCTATTTAGCATATCCGTTGTATGATCTTAAATTCATTAAGTGCGAAAACAAGTTACTATTACTTGCGCAATTGCTGCAAAGTTAGTTAATAATAATTTATTTCCTAAACAATATTGATTAATTGATTATATTATCTCCTAAGTTTAATTAAAGTAGAATTATTTTAAAAGAGTGAATCCATACTGGTAAGTTATATTTCGAAAGATGTTTTGAAGTAATTTCAAAGCAAAATGTTAATAATGTTTTAACGGGGACTAGAGTTAAATCATCATGAAGAATAAAATTTCAATTGTAAAAGGAAAAATTCATTGCATATATATAAGGACAAACCCGTAAAAAAAATGATAAAACTTCATTGATCGAAATTCAACATTCACCACCGGAAGAGAATTGACATCGTCCGGATATTGCTTTTCAATTCAATTTGGAGTAAAAATCAATTACTGTAGAGAAATCCTATTTAACTCGAGTAACCGTCCCCGACACTTTCATGTTTATGTATTTGAGTACTATATTATTTGTAGAAATTAAACATTGGAAATTGTCATTATGAAATCGAATTCAAAGTAAAGTTGAAATAAACATAGAAGATTACAAAATAAGATAAATAATGCAAACTTTGTAAAACAAAAAACAAATCAAAGACAATATAAAAATAATATAGAAAATAATATAAATAAGATCAGTGAATGTACATGAAGATATAAAGGCCAGAAATGGTATTAAGTAACTTACATTCTTTCTAGTGGGGGAGTTGGCAAAGTGTTCTCTTCGTGTCTGACTCAGAAGTGTAGGGTGTCCGAAAATTCTTAGCGGCAGTAGGGGCTTTGAATAATATCAGTCGGTAAGACTTGGGTGAAGTAATTTATGGTAGTGGGTGGGACTTGGAATTCTTGAGGGATGTATTTTGTGGAGTTCTTATCTGAGAGAGACTGTCTGTTAAGATTTTTTTTTTTTTTTTTTGAAAATACTAGTGAATGGAAATTAATTAATTTCTGGCTAATTGTCGTGTCGCAATGATTAAGAATTTAAGAAAGGAAAAAGGAATTTTCACTGTCCAAGAGCTGATAGACAGACTAAAGGCATGAAATAGGCCCATTTTTTTAGTAACAGTATATGTCTGAAGACAATTAGCTTTTTACAATATATACAATTGAGTAATTACACTATATACAAATCTTCCAACTGACAGTCATCCAACTTATACCGCCTTCTCAGGTTTAGGAACAAATTATCATATCCCTATCAGTTAAATGATTTAGAGTGAGTATTTAACGCCTGCTCTTTTAAGGCAATGGTTGATAAATTGAATGGGAATTAGATTATTTTTGAGAATTTTAATAAGGATCAAAATTTTGCGTTGTAAATCTATTGTATCTGTGCATATATTTTAATTCGTTGTATTGTTTGATTAATTATAGTATTGTTAATTACTTTTTGGATATGTTGGAGTTCCAATTTATTAATTTGTTAGTATTGAAATTGAAGTTTCTTGTTTTGTCAAAAAGTAAAATTTTTTTGTAGTTAATGATTTGAAGATCTAGAAAGTCTATGCTATTTTGTGAATTATTAGTTTTATATATATATATCAGTTAAAATCTAAACTTTTTTTGGTTATTTAAATTAATTCAATAAATTAGTAATAAACACTTTTATTAGTTCCTGCCAGTTAAACCAGTTGTTATCAACTTCTGCCATGTACTGGGCAAAAATTATTTTCTGTTGGTAGAAAGCTCATTCTGGTTACAATTATCTAAAAAACTTAGGCAATGAGTGAAAATTTTCTTTATGCTATGTGATTAAAAATCTATCACATTTAATGTTTCTGTTCAATATTTGTACTGAAGGTCTTTCATTCATTACAGAAAACAAGTATTTGTTATATGGCATTTCCAGATTCAAATTCAGGTTGTATGGGAAATACCCAGTTTTATTTTCGGATGCGACAATGCCCAGTACGCAGACCTAATTTGCCAGTTCATGAAGAATTTAACAGAATTTGCTCAGTGCCTCTACAGGTAAAAAACACATTAATTTTAACTGATCTGAATTTCTATAGCATGTTTTTATGTGTTTTGTACTAAATTTAGCTTTGATATTACATACTGTTCTGAAATCTAAAATAATATTTATGTAAATCTTCTGTCTGCATAAGTCAGCATAAACTATATTCTAATTAAGTCTTACATGTGACATTATTCTAATTAGCATGATGTATTTATTTTGTATATATATACAAATATATTACTGCAGTATATACATTATTGTTGGCTGTTAGTTCGTTGTATCTTTCTAAATAAAAAGAAAAATAACTCCTGATAAATAAAAAGAAATTAGCAATTTATTATATAATTCAGCTATACATAGCATAATAAATAACAACAAATAGTTTAAGCAGAATGCTGAAATTAAATATTTCTTCCTTGGTTTCATGAGAAGTCTCATCAATTACTGAAATCAAAGTTTACGATTTAGCTAATGCTAAACCTTGGAGTTGAATAGCAGCAACATATCCAAGCAAAATAATCTTAGCTTTTAATGTGTTCAGAAATTTTTATAAACATAAAATTGTGTTCAGAAGACTGTATTATGGAATCTGTATTGTTATCTTCCTTAAAAGTTCAGTACTTTAAAGTACTTTGTTGATAGAAAATCTTGTGATCTAATGAAATTTGGGGTATTAATAAAAGTAAATAATTCGAATCATGGAATATCATTCATATGTTATGCTTATAAAGGAGGGTAAAAATTCTTAAATGAGCATTTAAAGTGATTATATTTTTACAAAGAAGTGGTTCTTCAATATTATTTTCCATTTGATTATACCCTGACGCAAGCACCTTTAAAAAAAAACTAGCGGGCAAGCCCACTATTCATTGTTCGTTTGTATAAGAGTTCCTAATGTAATTTTGCCAGTATTCGAAAGTTGGAACGAACTACCAGTGTCCAGCGGTTTCGCGCTGTCTGCACCCGCTTTATTAAAGTTTGCATCCAGAATATACTGCATACATGATACACATGCGTAAAATCATGAAAACACCCATGCAGCCAGCCCGCAAATTTTCGGGATTCGAAATTGGAATGAACTAATAGTGTCCAGCGGTTTTGCGCGGGCACCGCCTGCTTTATTAAATTATGCATACGCGATACACATGCGGAAAATCACAAAAACACCCATAGAGCCTGGCCGTTGGCCTTTATTCGAAAGTTGGACTGATGTACCAGTGTTCAGCGATTTTACCAGGCTGCGCCCGCTTTATTCGCGTATGCATCTAAAAGATACTGCAAACACGTTACACATGCGGAAAATCATGAAAACTTGCATGGAGCCAGCTCGTTCACCGGGATTTGAAAGTTGGACCGAACTACCAGTGTTCAGCGGATTTGCGAGGTCTTCGCCCGCTCTATTCCTGTATGCATCCAGAAGATACTGCATACACGATACACATGCATAAAGTCGCGAAAACACTCATGCAGGACAATCTTTCACGTGTATTCGAAAGTTTGACTGAACTGTCAGTGTTCAGCGGTTTTGCGGGGCTGCGCCCGCTTTAATCACATATGCATCCAGAAATACTTTTACACGATACACATGCGAAAATCTCGAAAACACCATGCAGCCAGCCCTCGCCGATTCGAAAGTTGGACCGAACTACCAGTGTTCTGTAGTTTTGCGCGGGCTGCTCCCGCTTTATTCAAGTATGCATGCAGAAGATACCGCATACACGTTACACATGCGAAAAATCCCGAAAACACACATTGAGCCAACACGGTCGCTTGGATTCGAAAGTTGGACCGAACTACCAGTAATCAGCGTTTTGAGCGCTCAGCCGATAATGGGCCGTTGTACCAAATATAATCACGAACATTTTCGGGTTTAATTAATTCGCAAACAGTGGATTCGTTATTCGAAATTCCTTTTTTAACTACCAGAGTTCCAGCTTTATTCAAATTTATGCAACAAAACTGCATACACAAGAATATGCGTAAAATTCAAAAAAACCTGTGCCTGCTCAAGGGGAAGTTATAATCAAAAGCAAAAAAAAATTTTAAAAAAAAAAAAAAAAATTTTATTGTGCGAACTTATTTAAAATATCATTTGCATTAAAAAATATCTAAATTAAGTGCACGTATCTAAAACAAAAAAATATATTATTCCAAAAAATCAAATTTATTATTAAAAAAATAACAACATATTTTTAAAAAATAGCTTTTTCAGATTTTTTAATTAATATCCCAGCTGATTAAAGTTGTACAACTTCAAGAACGTCATCATTTAAATTTAATGTAATATAATAACTTTTCATTCAATATCAATAAAAGAATTAACGTGACAATCATCCTAACCTGAAATTTTAAAAAAAATTGTGAAAAGCAGCTGTTTATTTAAAATGCCTACATTAACGAAATATTTTTAAAATACAGTTAGGTAACATGCAATCGCGTGCTTTATTCAACTTTAGAATATAACCTTGATTTGTATCTGCGGCGATTCAAGAAACTGTTGCAATCGGAAAAATGAGCCCGAAAATTAGCGTTTTCACAGTTTTTAATTAATATCTCAGCTGATTAACGTCCTACGAAGATGAGAATGGTATCATTGGATTCGTAGAATTTTTTGGAATCCGCAGACACCTGCCTCGAATTCCAACTCAGCGCCGTTCCATAGATATTTAAGAAAAAAAAAAAAAAAAAATTGACACGTGACCTTTCGCCAGCACAAATCTCGAGCGGAAGCAATTGTCATCCCCCCGGCGCTTTCGAAAAAGCAATTTTAACTCAGCTAATTCCGAGACGGTTGCCACTCCGAAAAATGAAATAACGTTTTCGCAGTTTTTAATTAATAACTCCGCCGATTATTGTCGTACGAAGATGGGACCGGTATCGATGGATTCGTTGATTTTTTTCGAATACGGGGATATGCGTTTCGAATCGCAACTCGGAGCCGTTCCGCAGATATTCGAGAAAAACGAATTTGGCACTCGGCCAAATCCCTAAAATAGGGGAAACCCGTGAAAGAAAGTGCAAAACGTAGGGAAACGTAGGGAGAAAATCAGTTTTTAATTAATATCTCGGCTAATTAAAGTCGCACGAAGATGCCGATGGTCAATCCGGCGAGCCACGGGCATTCTGAATCCAACGGTACCTTCCGCTAAGCTCTACACCCAGCCGTTCCCGAGGAGATGATGTTACAAACACACAAACAGACAGAGGCACACAGATTTTAATAGTATAGACTAAATGAAGAGAAGACTTTTTTTCTAATAAATCTAATACGTAAGTCTTTTACATTGCTTTGAAATTCTTTTCTTGGTGAGAGAGGCATCTTTCATAAACTCTCCTATTCTAACTAAAACAAAAGTAATTCTTCTGTTTACTATTGCAAATTTAAAATCACAGTTGAAACCTAAATGAAAATCGATATCAGATTTTGAATGAGTTATATTCTGAATCATCATACATACCATGAATTTGTTCGTAAAACATTTTTAGGTTTGCTACACATATCTCCTAACAATGATCATGAGATAAGAGCTATAACTACTATCAAATGAACAATTAAAAATATTAAAAATAAGTGATACCTTTTTAAGTTTTAAATATAAAAAAACTATAAATAAATAAATAATTACTTTACCTGACAGTACATAACTTGGATTATAATTTCTTGATATTATCATGTGAGGATGAGGTTAATAATAGATCTTTGCATGGGTGGATGACACTCCCTCTAAAGACTTCTTGACAAGAAAAGGAAACATTTATGCTGAGGAGGTTATTTAATAGGAGGAAGGATTTTTCGTCTTAGATAAGCCAACAGTAGGGATTTCTGAAGTTTCTTTCATGAGAAAATAAGTGTTTAAACTTGTCTATACTTGTTTTATTTTCATTTGTTTAATGTAATGTAATTTCGGTACTTTTCCGTTTTGCCGGTGCAAATCTCGCCAAACAGACTTTATTGGCGACAACACACAGTATATACATTAAAAAATGTAACAAATGTTAGTTCTAAGAAATTTTTATTTTGAAGGCATAAAAATTTTAATATTGTTTAAAATTTTGTAAAAATACAATAAATAAATTAATTTGTAAAAAGACATCAATTTAAGAATTTACTTTGCTTTCATGGTTCAACATCCTGCTTCGCCATTTCATATCACGTGACCCCAAGTGATCTCATCTCACGTAAACTACGCTACAAAAATCTAATTCTCTCAGTAATTACATTAATTTAATTTCAAGTTAAATCTTAATTTGGAATAGACATTTAAATGCAAGAATTATTTCAGTTCGTACGAATAGCCTACTCAGAAATTATGTAAACCTCAGTGCTTTACTCCCTTAGTGCATTCTCATTGGAATTTCTGAATTTAACCTTTGACTTTGCCTTTTCTATATTTTCGCCTTCGGGTGAGCATTCATTGCATCCTAATTGACTTAATTACCGTGAATGGCATAAAATTGAACTATCTGGTAAAAATTGTATGTAATTGTTTGCCAGTATTGAAAGAAACAATCAGTCTGATAAGAAATGACTATAACTTGTTTTGAAAATGAGGTAAAAAAGGTTATTAGGGAGGATATTCCGTTTGGCATCGATTGTACAATTTCTGGCGACTTTATCACTTGCGCAGGCAAAATGGAAAAGTACCGTAATTTCGTTTGCGTGACTTTAATGGCATTGTGCACAGCTTACTTTTGCAAATTTCCCAGAATATGAGTCTCTTCCCCTTCCTCCCGGCCAGAAAAAAGAGCCTTCTTCAAGCGATGGGACTCACAAGGACTTTTTTCTTTTTATCATCTTCATTAAAACTATGATAATCAGAAACAATAAAGGGGCACATATTTTTACAGATTCCATTCATGTTTACATCTATTACTCCGTAATTATGGATGTTCTGTAAAAAATGATAAATATTTATATTCTTCCAGAATTGCTATGAAATAATATTAGGTTTTTCATTAACATCTTTTAAGGTTACGAATGGCAGTTATAATATTTTTAAGTTGGCAATTA